GCTTCAATGAATTGCACTCTCATTGCAGTCAATACAATGTCAACAACTCATTACGTAATGCATGAATGGCTTACATATGACTGCATTGTAAACACTGAGAGCACGTGTTTGTATGACACATGTGTTGACAAAGTTGTCTAAACTTGAAAACTCTTGGTTTGTGTCTCAATATCGTTGAGACTGTGAACCAGTGACCACTGACTTCTTGTGTCCAAATAATTGTCTGTGAGTTGAAGTGAGTTATTGCCAGACAATGAGCGCCCAAGAGATCCAGACGGCTGTGATTCAGCTGAAGTCAGAATCGGGACAACTGTTTGGCAGTCCTTTTGACATTCCTCTGGATATCACTGGAGATAAACTACAGCTCATATGCAACGCATTGGTGGCCAATGAGAGACCCGTTCCGTACCTGTTCTTCGCGAACGACATCCAAATCACGGAAAGTCTTCGTCAGACGATTGCCGCGAATCGCAAACTCTTTGACACCGAGAAGTGTCTGGAGATAGTCTGTGCCCCTCAGGCGGTATTCCACGTGCAGGCGGTCTCCCGGTGCTCGTCATCTATCGCCGGCCACTCGGACGCCGTTGTGTCCGTACAGTTCAGTCCCGACGGCTCCCAATTGGCGTCGGGTTCGGGCGACACGACTGTCCGCTTTTGGGACGTCGACACCGAAACTCCCAAATTCACGGGCAGTTCACACAAGCACTGGGTTTTGGTGATCGCGTGGACACCCAATGGACAACGACTCGCCTCAGCCGACAGGAACGGAACCATTCATATATGGGATCCCAAGACTGGCCAACAGTTGGGAAACGCGTTGTCCGCTCACAAGCAGTGGATTAATTCAATGGTTTGGGAACCGTTTCACTGGTTTGTTATCTCTGAACCCAACCCCTCTTTCACCCAATTATTTGTTTAACTCATTGTTTGTGACACTCATTGACAGTAACCCCGAGTGTCGGCGTCTGGCGAGCGCTTCCAAAGACTGTTCGGTGAAGATATGGGATACAGTGCTCCAGAAGGTTGTGCTCACAATCAGCGGTCACTTGCAAAGTGTTACTTGTGTTAAATGGGGCGGAAGTGGTCTTATATACACCGCCTCTCAAGACAGGACTGTCAAAGTGTGGACGAGTGATACCGTATGTGGCTTCCATACCAGGGCTCTAATGTGAACATCACTTCTAAAGTCATTTCATTCATTATTAGGGAGTACTCTGTCGTACCCTTGAAGGACACGCCCATTGGGTCAACACATTAGCCCTTTCGACGGATTATGTCTTAAGGACGATTCATATATGGGATCCCAAGACTGGCCAACAGTTGGGAAACGCGTTGTCCGCTCACAAGCAGTGGATTAATTCAATGGTTTGGGAACCGTTTCACTGGTTTGTTATCTCTGAACCCAACCCCTCTTTGATCCAATTATTTGTTTAACTCATTGTTTGTGGCACTCATTGACAGTAACCCCGAGTGTCGGCGTCTGGCGAGCGCTTCCAAAGACTGTTCGGTGAAGATATGGGATACAGTGCTCCAGAAGGTTGTGCTCACAATCAACGGTCACTTGCAAAGTGTTACTTGTGTTAAATGGGGCGGAAGTGGTCTTATATACACCGCCTCTCAGGACAGGACTGTCAAAGTGTGGACGAGTGATACCGTATGTGTCTTCCATACCAGTGCTCTAATGTGAACATCACTTCTAAAGTCATTTCATTCATTATTAGGGAGTACTCTGTCGTACCCTTGAAGGACACGCCCATTGGGTCAACACATTAGCCCTTTCGACGGATTATGTCTTAAGGACGGCCTGTTTTGATCCCCAATACCCTAACAATAGGATAGACTCGGGCGCCGACACCAAGGAAATGGCAGTCAAAGCTAAGGAACGGTTCCAATCTGTTCGCAGCGATAACGAGCGACTAGTGTCCGGATCGGATGACTTCACACTATTCTTGTGGTTCCCCGAGAGGGACAAGAAATGTGTGTCCAGAATGACAGGCCATCAGCAGCTCATTAATGACGTGAAGTTCTCGCCCGACGCCCGCATTATCGCCAGCGCTTCGTTTGATAAGTCGATTAAGTTATGGGACGGGAGGACAGGGATGTGAGTATAGAATTGGTGAGAGTTTTGTGGAAACTATAATTATTTTTGTGCTGAAATTTTTGCGACAGATATCTAACATCACTTCGCGGACACGTTAAGGCTGTCTATCAGATCTCGTGGTCGGCAGACAATCGACTTCTTGTGAGCGGAAGCGCCGACTCTACTCTTAAAGTGTGGGATATTTTGAATAAGAAATTACTCATTGATTTGCCCGGACATGAGGATGAGGTGCGATCTCAAGACCTATTCACTCATTGAACTCATTGTTAAACTATGTTTTGATCCCAAATGTAAGGTCTATGCCATTGATTGGAGTCCTGATGGAGAGAGGGTTGGAAGCGGTGGTAAAGACAAAGTCCTTAAACTGTTAGTTCACTTGAAGTTTGCTTTTGCTTTCATTTTAATGTAATTTTTTATTTTAATTTACAGATGGAAACGATAAATGCTTTGTTTTATTGCCAATTCATTGGACCGTTAATTGTGTTAATTTTGATACCATTTAAACAACATTTTATTAATGAAAACATTGATTAATAATAAATACAAATATTTATGAATTTATGAAAACTTTATTGAATTTTGAACTCAAAATAGTGAAGAATTTTGATTTGTTTGTCACTTCTGGCGCCACTTCTTGTGTGTAAAGCCTCCGACTCTTCGCAACCCTCACTACCGGACGATACGTTTGTAAGTTTTAGTTGTCGTCTTCGGCAAACGGTTCTGCGTGTCAGCGCCGGACCTTTGAATCGCTTAGCACTGAAGTTGTCGACTGGAAGGGTCGGCTGTTCAGACCTCTTCACCCGATTAATGTCGTCCACAGGATGCGATCTCTTTGGCAAATATGAAGTAACGGTTGCGCTATTGTTTCCGTACGAGGTTTGGCTGACTCGGGCACCCGGAGGCCGACTCTGAGAGCGCCGGTAGTGTTGTTGATGATTATCGTGAAAGCGCTGATTGAATGGTAGGAACTGTTTGTCTGATGATAGAAGCATTTCCAGCGACTATTATGTGGATTAGTTGATGGTTGAGGTTTATGGTTGTGGTTGTCAAGTGTTGATAGCATTGTTGGAAACGTTGTTAAATTTGTTGGAATTCGTTGAGAAACCAATAGAAACCGCCGCTCGTCAAGAAGTACTGACCCGTTGTGCGGATGTAAGCGATTGCGTCTATTTTGCCGCCGTTTTCGCACAAATTGGGACCACAGATGACCGCTTCCATTGACATACAAACAAATATCAGTGCCTTAAGTATGACTGTCATTATGAATATAATTATTTTTTGCAATCAAAAGCACTGTAGTTAACTTTTCAAAAAAGTTGTGTCTAGTACAGTTTTGCATTTCATTTATTTCATTCAATTGAATAGTGAATTCAGATTTGAATGCTATTCATTCAACTGTGTGTTTAAATCAATTGTTGTAGCATTCAGTAAACCGGCACAACATTGAGTATAGAATATTCTTTTATTGTAATATTCACGCGATTCGTAAAATTTGCTGTTTTTAAAATTTCTTATCAAAGATGTTTTCAAAGATAACCGTATTTGTGACACTTGTATGCATTGTCTGTCCAGTGGTCACCAATAAGACACAAATCATAAACAATTACATAAAATCCATTTGCTATGGAGAGTGGACTCAAATATATGACTTCAAAAAGTTGGCCGCAATTACAGACATCAATAAAAGACGATTTCATTTGAGTTCAGATTATTGTCAAAAGACTTATAAAAATTCGACACAATTTCCGCAGAAGTTATCGTCTTTCTTGACTGAAAACAAGGAGTTTTTATTTCTATACATAACTATCACTAAATCCATTTCCAAAGAGTCATCAAAATTTAATATCAGTTTCTCTCCGGACTTCTCACACGAAATGAATTCAAAGTTTTTATTATTCGTTTGGATTAAAGAGGTCTCAAAACGTAATTTGAGTTCTCATTTGAAATACGAAATGAATTTCAAGATCTCTGACAAGAATAAAGTCATCACAAGTATTACAGATTTGAATCTTAAGAAACACCACTCGGAAGAGATTGCATTAACTGATTATCCATTGGACACGAAGTCGTCCATCGAGATGGATGTATTGGTATGGAATGGAAGTCATGGATCTATTTCTTGAGACTTATCTATAGATGACTCGTATATCGTATTCTGCGCTCAAAAAATGCAGAATTCAAAAGTCAGCTATTCTTTAAAGAAGTGTTGGCCAGAGGTTTACGACAACCATTTGGGCTGTAATTGTGATGTCAAACATGATTCATACTTTCACTGATCGTATCGTTTCTAATGGGAGGACCCATTGGTATGGTTCTCGTCTATGCAGTCAAATGTCTCAGAGAGGGAGAAATCACTCAACAAATACTTCTGAACAGCGGCTCAAACAACTCATCGCCACCGATGACAATTGGAGACAACGCTAGCCTTAGCCTCCAGTCTATAGCCAGTGCTTTGCGTCGCGGATCCGCTTTAGACGAAGACATCACTCAAACGCATCCAATGGCACAGACGTCTCAAAACATGACATCATTACTACCAGAGATGTCAATCGCAGACACAATGGACTTGCCGTCAGATCAGTCACTGAAGAGGAAGTCTGAGACACTTCAGACGGTTGGTAACCGGTTGGCCAACAGTGGTCTGTACGTCGAGGCCATCAGATACTACTCGAAGGCCATCGCCCTCTACGACGAGGACTACCGACTGTACTGTAACCGCAGTTTCTGTTACGAAAGGCTTATGAAGTTTGAAGACTCGTTGGCCGATGCCTTGCGGTCAGTGATACTGATGCCCACCCGTCCGAAGCCATACTTCCGTCAGGGAAAGGCATTGATTGGACTCAAGAGGTATACGGACGCAGAGAAAGCCTTTCATAAAATTCTGCAAATGAATGGCAAATGTGAGGACACGGCAAAAGAGCTCTTGAAGACTAGGTATTTGGCGCTCAGAGACAACGGAATGGACGTCGAGGCGGCTTCTCTAGCGGCCATCAGTCACGACACCATCGATGAAGCCATCAAAGCCTCGGCAGACAATCGAATGATTACAATAGGAAGCGATGGTTCGCCGAAGACTTCGACAATGAATGACACGAATTCTGGAGACGATATGAGCGCAGCCATCGGTTGCCACAAATCTGGTGCTAGTTTTCAGGACAATGAGCGCCGGTTCAGAAAGCACTGGACGCCGACAGACAAACAGTTCCTACCATTCAATCAGCGCTTTCACGATAATCGTCAACACTATCGACGCTCTCAGAGTCGGCCTCCGGGTGCCCGAGTCAGCCAAACTTCGTACGGAAACAATAGCGCAACCGTTACTTCATATTTGCCAAAGAGATCTCATTCGGTGGACAACATTAATCGGGTGAAGAGGTCTGAACAGCCGGCCCTTCCAGTGGACAACTTCAGTGCTAAGCGATTCAAAGGTACCGGCGCTGACACGCAGAACCCTTTGCCGAAGAATCTGTTCGGATATAAAGGCCTATGGATTGGGAACGTGTCGCCCGACTGTAAGCCCGCACTCCTGCGCCAGATATTCATTCGGTACGGCCCACTGGATTACGTGAATGTCGTCCCCCAGTCGTACTGCGCTTTCATCAACTACCACAACCACCAGAGCCCGAGAGTAGCCATCGCCGCACTCTATGGTCAGACAGTGACCGGCGTTTCCAACGGTTTCCGACCCCTTGTCTTCCGATTCATTCCGTCCAACGATCAGAAGGACTTGCATTACATGCGTCCCTATCAGCCCCGCGGCACCAATGAGTGCTACTTCTGGCGCACCACTGGGTGTCGGGACTTCAACTGTCCGTTACTTCATTATCCCGTGTGTCGCGGCATCGACTTCCAGCCCTGGATGCACAAGAAGTGCCATAAGAAGTGCTAAAAGGATATCATTATAGCATACCTTCTGATACTAAATACTGTCAATATTCTCATCTATTCGTCAATTTTTATCTATTTTTGTGATTTTATTTAATTTATTTAGAAATCCATAGTATTCTTATTATAAACGTTATACAGTTTATTATATATTAGAAAATGTCTTACGATTAATACTAAATTCAATTTTTCAATTTAATTATAATAAAATATTTTTTAAAACCTTATTATTATTATTATTTCATTTGGAATTAGTTTAGTTGTGTTTTTAGTTAGTGATAATTTATAATTTCTAATAAGTTATACAGGTTAATTTGTAAATAATGTTAATATAAATATACAAATCAATATTAAGGACTTTATATAATGAGAGATCTGATCACTCGCTCAATGAAGTGTCGATTCTTCGTCCAAGACTTCAGGGTTTTCATCGAAAGTCAATGAATTCTTATCATTAATAGCATCGATGAAAGTCTGCAATTCGTGAGAAGAATCCAAATCGATGTCAGGAGTGAACAACAGAAGAAGGTTTTGCTGAACCAATACAACGATTCGGTGAATTGGATGCCATTATCGGTCTGAAGCAATAGCTGCGAGGATATGATCGCAAAG